CTCCAACAAAGAACTAGGAAGGGCACTAGACCAAATACTCAACAACAAGAAATCCCAATAGAAACATCAATAAGCTCCTTCACAGAGCCCAGGATTAAACAAAAGACAGCCAGAAGCTGTGGAGACTGAAATCTTGCCAGAGAAGCCAGAATAAGTGCAATAAAGCAAGATAGAAGCCTTCAGTAGCACCCTATTGAGGGAAGTCCCAGGATGGACAGCAGACACAATTAGCCATGATAACTGTGAACATCAATGGGATGAATTTACCCATTAAAAGAAAGTGGGTAGAAGAATACCTTATAAACCAGAATTCAGCAATATGCTATTTACAAGAAAGACCTCTAAAACAAAGACTCACACAAAATCAAAATGAGGGGATGGAGCAGGCTCTAATTAAGTGAATCCAAAACGTAGGTGTAATAATCATGACACTGGACGACACTAAAAAATATAAAGAAGAACCTACTTTATCCTTAAAGGTATCAGGGGAATAAAAGAATAGCAATCCTACATTATACATACAAGCTATGTGATTTGAAGCAAAGTCACAATGCTCTGGTCTACTCCTTGCCACTATACGTTAGAGAGGGTGCTGATTTGCACAGGCAGAAGAAGTTTTCTCAACAGGAAACTCCCCATACCAGTAAAATGACAGGCTCAATCAATATCCTATATTCCATTTGATATGTACATGCATTGAATGGGACAGCAAATAAGTACTTCAAGGAAAAGCAAAAAGATAACAAACATAATAGTTGATGAGTATGTAATCTTCTCAGGACTAGACAAATCTAACAAAAAGATAAGCCAGAAAGAAATTAAAAATCTGAAAACATCTTTACATGGGTGAAATATGATACATCTCTGGCTATTACTGAATGAGATTAGACAGAAGTATACCTATTACTCAGGAACATATGGCATCTTTACAAAAAACTGATCATGTTAGACCAGCAGTCCTCAAACTTTCTGCTTTCATGACCACTTAATACTGTTAAAAATTACTGAGGACCACCCCCAAGAGCTTTTGTGTAGGGAGTTACAGCTATTGATATTTGTCACATTAGAAATTAAAATACCTTATCATTATGGAAAATTTTTACCTTGGGGATATTCAGGGGTCCCCAAAATACATTTTGAAAATCACTGTGTTAGGTCATAAAATCTCAGAAAGGCTAAAAAGCATAAATATTAAATAGAACCTTTAGAGAATATAAAATAAAAACTATAATCAATAAAGTGGTTTAAAAGAAAGGACCACACTTAAATGAAGACTAAATAATTTAAATAATTAGTGTTTCAAAGACCAAATCACAAATGCAATAATTTCATTAAAGAAAATGACAACAATAAGACAACTAAAGAAGCAACACATAAACCAATTTAACAAAAATAAATATTAACAAAATTAAAAGCAAAAAAAAAAACTCTGAAAAACAAAACTAAGAGCTATTGGGGATGGCGAGGAGAGAAATAAAAGAAACCATCAGCTAATCTAGTGGCCTTTCTAATATGATCAGGGGTTAAGCAAGGATGGCCATTGTCACCACTATTTTATATAGTTCTAAAAAATGTTACTGTTAGTTATGAAAAAATTTGAGAGAATAAGCAAAGGCAAAGGAGAAATAAAATTATCATTTTTTTCAAATAGAATATGAAGATTTACTTAGAGAATCCTAGAGATTTGGCTTTGAAAAAACTGAAATACTGATATCAGCAAAGTAGCAGTATAAACCTACAAAAATCATCAGCCTTCCTATATATTACCAACACAACCCAGAATCAGGAAATAGAGAAATTCCTTTCAGCACAACTCAGAATACATACACTATTTGGGAATCTACACAGAAATATGTAACTATAACTGTCAAACATGCTTTACAGAAATAAAGAAAGAGCTAAATAACTGCAAAGATACTAACTATTCATGCTTGGTTATGCCAACATAATAAAAATGGCAATGATACCTCAATTAATTATTCATTGCCACACAAATCCATCCAAATTTTAAAAAAAGATTAGAGAATTGGGTAAAAAATTAAATTCATCTGAACATGGCAAAAAAAAAAAGGATTTAAAATCTCAAGGAAAAATGTGAAAAAAAAGGGAAGGAAGGAGTGGGAGGGGCTAGCAGCATCAGATCTCAAACTATACTACAAAATAGTAATCATCAAAAATATTTAATACTAATTTAAAATAAAATGATGATCAATGGGACAGATTAAGCATATAAAAATCAAGAAACAAATGAAAACAGCAACATATTGTTCAATAAAACCAACGCAATCTCAAATACTGGGGTAAGGACTCAAAACAGCTAAAAAAACAGGAAAGCTGTCCGGCAAAAATAAGTTTGGACCAATATCTCATCCCACATGTCACAAAAGGTGGCACAGTGGACAGAGCACAGCATCTGGAGTCAGAAAGACTCATCTTCCTGAGTTCAATCTGGCCTCAGACACTTACTAGCTGGGTGATCCTGGGCAAGTCACTTCACCCTGTCGGCCTCAGTTTCCTCATCTATAAAACGAGCTGGAGAAGGAAATGCAAAGCACCCCAGTATCTCTGCCAAGAAAACCCCAAATGGGGTCACAAAGAGCCAGAAACAATTGAACAACAAAAACCTCAACGTAAAAAGTTAACGTTGTAAATAGATCAGATAAACAAGGGACATACTTTTGACAACCCTGAATGAGGGAAGACTTTGTGACTAAGGAGAGGAAACAGAAGATTCATTCCTATGTGCTCTCTCAGACCAGACTTTTTCTTTCTTTCTTTCTTCATATCTTTATGTGCTTAGCACAGAGCCTGGTATACAGTACATGCTTAATAATTCTTGTCAACTTGACTTAATTTGATCACAGGACATGAAATGGACAGTTTCTGTTACATAAAATTAAAAAAAAAGTGCACAAATCACTGCAGCTGAAAATTGAAGGGAAACACCAGGGAAATAATTTTTGCATCAAGTTTCTCTTACAAAGGTCTAGTTCTCTTATGAAGGTTTATTTTCACAAATAGAGAACTGATACAAATATATAAGAACAAGAGCTATCCCCGTGGGTAAGACTTCAAAGAACACAAACAAGAATGAGAGGAGAGAAAAAAGAGAAGGGAATAAACTTTTATTAAACGTCTGTATGTGCCAGGCACTGTTTAAATAAGCACTTTACAAACATTATGTCATTTGACTCTCACGATATTCCTGTGAGGTAGGTGCTATTATTATCCTCATTTTCCAAATAAGGAAACTGAGGCAAACAGGTGAAGTGATCTGCCCAGGGTCACACAACAAGGAAACATCTGAGGCAGGACTCAAACTCAGGACTTCCCATCTCCAGGCCCAGCACTGTACTCACTGTGCCACCAGCAGGGACTATTTTTGTACACAGTCAATGAGTGGATTTGCTTTGCTTGACTATGATTATTTGTTATAAGATTTTTTTTTTAGGGGATGGGAGGGGGACATGAATATAAGACAGCGTTGGATCTCATGTCCTGAATTTATTATATACATTAAACACACACATACACACACCCCAGCAAGATGTACATAAATTCAGATTCCCAGTTTTATGAAAACTCTTTTTTCTGTTCTTTGCCTCTGAAAATACTCATACTTACTGGTGTTTGTCAAGTTTGGAATAACAAAAAGTTTAAAAAATGCATTTTTTTTTAAAAAAAAGAAAGAAACAATGAGCCTGGAAAAGGGGAGCCCTCTCTTCTCTGTGTACAGAAACAGTAACATGCGGGGAGTGGGAAACGAAGGCCTTGAAACTTTCCACCCGCAGCAGCTGAGCGGCTTCAACCCAAGTCTATTTTTCCAGACATGATGTTTCATTTGGCTGCAAGGGTCACATGACAGCTGCGAGCTAGTGCCTTAAGGTTTGGTTCTGCCTCTCGGTGACACTGACAGGCTGTGAGAGACTCCAACAGTAGAGAAAGAAAAAAAAAATTTTTCCTCTTGTTTCCATTACATCATCCAAGTCCTACTAGGAGGGGGTGGGGGAGGGGAAGAAGGGGGGCACAGCTGGTGGCAGCTGCAGAGCCATCTGCTTTCTCCTTAACAGTATGGGCTAGTTTATCCTGCAGACTCCTACGGCTCCTGATGGAGAAGAAACAGGATTAAAGGCACAACACCCCATTATGGAAAACCTTTCAAATTATTTAGAAATAAATTACTCTGGTGCTAAGTTAACTGTCTCAGGTAGGCTGCTGCGCCTGCACCCAGCCCTTCTCCGAGCTGGGGGTGTTTGTTTGCGTCTCTTTAGTCTCAAGTCACAGAACAAACTCTGTCAGCTTCATGTTCACAATTAGACGGGCAAGATGTACAACCCTCCCCCCTACCACCTGCCATCTGCCTCTCACAAGGTAAGTAGCCAAAAGTAAAACTCTACAGTGAAAAATATTTATTTAAAGGGGGTGGAGAGAGAGGGGACCCAACTAATCCCAGCACAAAATCTGTGCACACATCTATGCATACTCTGAGAAAGCTTCTCAGGGTGGACCACCAGCTGGAGCAAACAGGACATGTAACTAACTTATGGCCTGGCTGCAAGTGCATTACAAGGTGAAGATTCTCCAATAGGGACACATTTAAGAAACACCGCAACCACTTCGTGGCCAAGACGCATCTTGATAATGTAAGTGGCCAAAAAACAAAACTCGACTGTGAAGGGAGACCCAAATTCAGGCTGCTAGTTAGAAACATCGTTTACAGAAAAATTATTTTCTACTCACTTCCAGTTATTAGACACTAGTAGCTACTACAACATGTGTGGGTCCACTAAGCAGTAATTCCCTGATTACTCTAGTGCCAGATTAAGGTGTACTTAGAAGCACAACAGCTCTCTCTACCAAACACAACCGCAAAGGCACCTGGCTTCTCTCCATCACTGAAAACAACACAAGCTTGTGAAATACAGCCATCAGACCTCTGAGTATCAATCACATGAATGTTCCCGTCCAATTACCACAAAAATAAATTCCATGCAACTTACCATACATTTTGCCTTCATCTGATAGGATGATTTTTCTCCTCCCACAAGGTGGATAAATGGCCAGGGCCTCCTGAAAGCTCTGTTCAATATCTGGGCTCCAGACTCCCTCGGCATCATTGTCAATGGGCTTATCTGCAGAGTCACTCATTCTCTCGATGTTTTCGGCAGGACTTTCACTGCCGCTCCAGCTGCTGGGCTCAATGGTGACGGTTGGGGTCTCCAAGCCAAAGCTTGGAATCTTTTAAAGAAAAGAAACCTAAAAAGGGAAAGGACCACAGAAGAGTAAGGACAGAAGTCTGGTAAACATTCATTCTTTTAAACATTTATTAAGCCCTCGTAGTAGATTTAACACCATCCCTCTCAGTACCCCAGCACCTAATGTAAAGTTTCAGTAATGCAGTCCCTGACCTTATCAATCTTCCTACACCACCTCACTGATCCTCAAAACAACCATGTGAGCTAAATATTGTCAGCCTCCTAGTTATTCTAATCCTCATTTTACAGAGCAAGAAACCATGGATCACAGAAGTTAAGGGACTTGCCCATAAGTTCACACAGTATCAGAGGTGGAGTCCAAACCCAGGTATCTTTTGATTCCAAGATTAGCTTCCATTCCATACTGCCCATTATGGAACGTACAGCCGAGTTAGGATACAAAGTATCAATCAACTCAGAACACAAGTACATTCATGCATACGAATCTAACTCTCACACCTACACATACATGTGTGGAGTACATGAGGGACACTTCATACAAAAAACTCTATGATGCATGAGTCCAATAATCACTACAGCAATAAAAATCCAATGGGAAGGAAAAAATCATCTTGGAAAAATGGTATAAGAGAAATCTTAGACAAACACACACACACACACACACACACACACACACAAAGTAGTGACAGATAAGTACTACACGAGATCCAAGAAGGTCAATGACTAGGGGAGCCACAGGAAGCTTCATGTAAGAGGAAACATTTGAAGTGATCTTTAAAAGACAGCTAAGGAAGTCAGGCAAAAGGGGCAGAAGCTTTGAGACAAGAAAGCAGACTCATGTTTAGGGGTCAGAGTGTTGTCCATTTTGGCTGAAGCCTACAAGACGGGTGTCATGTGAGACAAGGCTGGAACGGTCAGTCTGTGACAGACTGTAGACAGCAATAAATGTTAGCCAGAGAAGTTTAAAGGAACTTTGGTAAATTGTGATTGGGGTAGGGTGGGGAGGCAGAGGAATGAATGATAAGACTAGATCTAGGAATTGGGGGCAAGCAGAATAAAGACCCATTTGAACACTATTACAGTGCTCTAGGCCTAAGATAATTAACCAGGGTGGACACAAAGGTGCTGAGTAGAAGAGGAAGAGCCAGATGTGAGATGTGTTGCAGAGAGGTGAGGGCCAGAAATTGGGTGGGTGTTTGGATAAGTGAGGCAAGGAAGATAAAGACGTAAAATACGACCCTAAGGTTTCTATCACAACACGAGGTGTAAATGCTCAGGCCACTGATAGAAATAAGGAAGTCCAACAGAGAAACAAGTTTAAGAAAATAGATGATAGACTCAGTGCCATGTTGAATCTGAGGAGGAAAATGGGCAATCCAGGTAAAGGTTTCCTATAGGCAAACAGGAGAGGTGGCTCTAGAGTTCAAGAGAGAGATCTGAACTGGACATGGAGATCTGGGTGTCATCGTTGGGATGGCTGGATCTGTGAAAAGAGGACTTGAAGAAGAACCAAGGAAAAGATGTGGGAAGAAGAGAAGCCAGCATAGAAAGCAGAAGAGAGGAATGTAGAGAATCCAAAGATGATCCAGGAGAGAGAGAGAGAGAGATCTCTGAAGTCCAAAGAACAAAAAATATCCCATAGGAGGGTGTAGGGAATAATGTCAAATGTTATATGAGAGTTAAAGATGAGGACTACAAAAAAAAAAAAAAAAGCAACAAGATGTAGGAATTTTTTGTCCCTTCGTAATTCTAGGGCAATTTTTTTTAAACACAATTGTCAACTATACTGTGTATGCTACAGAGCATGTGTCATTCTCAAAGTGGAGTCTCCAATCATCTTTTGCTCTCCCTGGGGCATCTCATACAGAAAAACATGACACGTTCAATGATCACCACAACAATAAAAATTCGATGGAAAAAGGAATCCCCATAATTGGATGGGACCATAAAATGCATCTGAATCATTCAGTTTGGAAAGTACACCCAAAAAGGGGTCCATGTGGTCTAGGGTCAGCAGCTGGGTTAACCTCAAGCCCCACCTTACTATGGTGTGACCTCAGCTGAGTCTCTTGCCTAGCTTACCTCTTTCAAGAACACACACCCTACCCCCCCCCCAAAAAAAGTCCTAAAAAAGATGGCATCTTCCTGTGGATCCTTCTTCCAATAAATTGTTTCAAGTTCCAATATCTGACCTCCAAAGAAGCTTGTACTTCTCCATATGACATACATATTCACATAACCTGTGTTCTTAAAGGATAGCCATAACTCAGTACAAGCAGTGTGGGACAGTAAATAGAACCCCAGGCTTGCAGTCAGGAACACTTGGGTTTTATTCCCACTTCCAACACTTGCTACATAACCCTGGACAAGTCATTTAACCTCTCTAGGCCTCAGTTTCTTCATCTGTAAAATGAAAGGGATGAAAGGTCCCTTCCAGGTCTAAATCTATGATCCCTTGAAATGCCAGACTGTTCCCACATACTCAGTAAGAGAAAGATCATTTGGCCCTATTCTGAGGTCAGGGAAGTCTTGCTCATATACACATCAGAATTCTGATTTTTGACAAAGCACTAAGTTTTTCCCCTTAGAGGCTTGCTCCTTCGGAATATAACTGAAGAACATGATTTGGCTGTTGTTTCTGGTGCTTATCTAAGATGCAAGGAGTTTTGAGCAGAGTTCTCATCCATCAGAAGGTTCTGCCATATTCCCAAAAAGCTGCAAACCAAGTGGAGAGCACTCAGACAAGAACATGTTGTGGCAGTCCTGGGTACCTGAAGTCTCTCGGGAAGCCTCCTGAGCATCACCAAACCCTATGACTCATCGAGAAACCCTAGACAAAGATTCCCTGAGGTAGCCCACAGTTTGCGCTTATTCTACAGAAAATAACTAATTAGAATTTGCCCTTCACTGTTGAGGATTCTTTGCCTTTCTATCATAACATTCCTATTTTGGAGCCCCTGGGGAAAGGAGACCTCTGATTACACTTCATATGCAACCATTCATTTGTCACCAGAAGTACTTTTCCAGCCTCAGAAAACCTCTATTTGCACCTTGGTGAGAAAACACCAAGTGAGAAATTAAACCACAAAAAAAGATCTTTATTAACTCCCCAAATAAATTCCAAGTTATCTGCATTTATGTCTGCATTAATTTATCAATTAAACTACAAAAAAAGATCCTTTTTATGAACTTCCCCAAAAAGTTCCAAATCATCTGCATTTATGGACTTTTTTGGATTCCCAAAACATGGCATCTTCCTTCTGGGATCTTAAAAAAGGTTTATGAAAGACACAGTGGACTCTCTCTTGCCCTCGAAATCTCCTTTATCTCAACTTTGGTTTGCTGAGAAAAATGAGAGGATGAGAGGATGCTGCTAGCCCAAAATTAATGGGCTAAAGAAAGTCCCTCACCATTATTCTTTGCAGACTTAGAGGAAGGGCTGCAGATGAAACCAGCACGGCTCTTATCAGACTTTTGCCACTGCCACTGTCTTGGGTAATTTTGCTGAACTGTTTCCCTCCTCATTTTTGTTGTTTGGTTTGTTTTTCTTTTGGTTTTAACAAATGGTTCTCAGAGAGGGTTGGGTGGAAGGATACACTGGGAAATGTAGGTGATATGAACACAAAAGACATCAACAAAAATGTATTAATAAAATACAATAGAATGTGAGCCCACACAAATACAAGTATAGCATCCATATTCCAGGTACCGCAGACTTCTTCTCTAGGTAGTAGATCCACCCACATGTTCAGTTCTGTGTACCACCTTTTAAGAGGGAAATTGACAAGCTAGAGCATGTCCAGGAGGGCAGCCAGGATGGGGAAGAGTTTAAAAGCTATGTCATATAAAAAAAAATTCCCAAAAAGTCCCAAGAATAGTGACAAACTCTGCCCAAATACTATGAGTTCTAGGGAAAAAGAGCTCTTGGTGGTGCAGGATAAAGATGGCTAGATTTGGAGTTGATGCTGTGCATATTGGGAGGTTGGAATAAGCATTAGGGTTTCCAAAGTCAGACTATACCAAAGCAGGGTCAAACAAACAAACAAACAAACAAAAACCCATAGCTACATCCTCTAACATAGATCCAACTGTCACCTTTTACACCTCCTAGGCAAGCCTTGGGAAGTAGGAGCTGGGGGGCCAGGAAGGAGACGAGTGAGGCACAGGGAGTCAACAGCAGAACCAAGAATTAGCTTAGATTATTTTAGTCAAGATCTCTGTCAGGAAAGGTCCATGAACTGGCCAAGATGTATTCTGGACCACCATTAGATCAACATTAAGATTCTATAGTATTCAAAGGCTTTAAAAACACAAAAAGAATTCAAAGTCCAGTCTAATACAGCAGAGCCAACTGAGGCTCAGCAGGCTGGAAGTACATACCCTGGACAGGGGCCAGGACAACTCTAGGTCACTAAGCTACACTAGCAGCATGGATAAAAAAGCCCATGGGGCCCTGCAAGGGCAGAGTTCCTTATTATAATCCTAGGGCATCAGCAGACTAAGGAGAGTGTCTCTTGACTGAACACCTGCACAAATTCTTGGCCGTGTTCAGAACTGCTCATACATCAACTCCTCTTAACCCATTTCAACAGCCAGAAGTTAGGCACATGGGAGAGCTCAATAAAAACTTCTTAAATTGAATTAACCAGCACATATCCAGTATTACACCACACCTGACCAATCCTCACTTCTTAGTTCCTGTCCATGCAAGTCTCCATCAGTTATAGACATGGTCTAGCTAAACACTGTCCACGTACCAGTTATGCAGATTTTTGTTCACTTTACCTCCTCATTAAGTTAAAAACTCTTTCATGGCTTGGGCCAAGTGTCACCAAATCTAAGACCCATAATTCTGAGGACACCCTGTGAACATGCAAATATCTAATGACAGGATGATGCAGTAGCAAAAAGACAACCGAGGGGCTGCTAGGTGGCACAGTGGATAGAGCACCGGCCCTGGAGTCAGGAGGACCTGAGTTCAAATCCAGTCTCAAACCAGATACTTGATACTTACTAGCTGTGTGACCCTGGGCAAATCAC